GGTCCTCTTTTTACCAACCTTGGAAGGATGGAAGGCTGAGTCAACCTTGAGCCATTCAGAATCGAACTGCAGATAGTTGGCAGAGTTATCCTGCATTCTAAACATTATACTGCATTCTAAACACTGTGCCACCAGGGCCCTTCCTTCCTTCCTTCCTTCCTTCCTTCCTTCCTTCCTTCCTTCCTTCCTTCCTTCCTTCCTTCCTTCCTTCCCTCTTAGCAAGATATACTGCTTCATAGTGCTTTACAGCCCTCTCTAAGTGGTTTACAGCATCAGAATATTACCTCCTAATAATTTGGGTCCTCTTTTTACCAACCTTGGAAAAAGGCTAAGTCAACTTTGAACCAATCAGGATCGAACTTCTGGCAGTAGGCAGATACTATCAGGCTATAATACTACATTCTGACCACAGCTCTGTAGAAGCTATATTCCTGCTTCCATGCAGTTTAAAAGAATTTGAAGGGGTTTGAATCAAAAGCAATCACGGACTAACTAGCTAAGAACAGCTTTCTCAGACATAACCCATTTTTTAAAAATATTGGGTGACTTTCTTTTGCAAGATAGTGTAAATATAATTTACATATTTTGACTAGTAAAGCAAATGGCATTCTGATTAGCAGGCTAGTTAAATAAGGGCTGAATTGCCTGAAAAATCATACTTACAGAGTGCTCATTAATACTTACTCCACACAGAAAGGAGATATCAAGTAGTCTAGATGGGGGCTTACATTCTCAAAAAATCCATAACTGACTTGAATTAAGAGGAAGGAGTGCTTATTAGTGGGTTTTTTTTTCTGACAAGAATAAGGAGTGAAATTGTTAATAGTCTAGAAGGCAGAAACAATTTCAATACATTCTTCATAGATTTTTGGGTTTGGGGTTTGGTTTTTTTGTGCCTTTGAGTCAACAATGTTGACTCCTGGCAACTGCCTGGAGAAGGCCCTACAGTTTTCTTAGCATTATTTCAGAAGTGGTTTGCCATTAGCTGCTTCCTAGGGCTAAGAGAGATTGAATGGTTACCCTGCTGGCTCTGTGCCTAAAGGGGAACTACAACTACCACTAGCATTTAGATTTATATACCACTTCATAGTGCTTTTACAGCCCTCTCTAAGCATGTTTACAGAGTTGGTCTCTTGCCCCCAATAATCTGGGTCCTCATTTTACCAACCTCAGAAGGATGGAAAGCTGAGTCAACCTTGAACCTGGTGGGATTTGAACTGCCAAAGTGCAGTTAGCCAGGAGTCAGCAGAAGTAACTATACTGTACTCTAACCACTGCGCCACCATGACTTTCATAGCATCACAGTTTCTAGCCAGCTCCCTTAACCACTACACCAGTCTAAATCTCAATATGGAATTAGTGAAAAATAACAGTCTAAAATTGAATAGAGACAATGCAAAGTTTTTGCTTAAGAAAAAGAAACCAAATGCACATAATTAACATGTTAAATACTTTGCTTGGTAATCATATGTGTTAAAGGGATTTTGGCATAGAAATTAATCACAAATTGAGTATCAGATGCTAGTGGAAAATGGCTTCTAAAAAGGCAAATGAAATGTCAGAGTGCACAATAAGAAAATAGTTTCCAAATTAGCATGAATAATATTTCCATTGTATGCTGCAGTGGTCAGAATAGTCAGTCTTCAATTCAGTTCTGAGAAGCACACTTTAAGAAAGATTCAGAGAAACAAGAAAAGCAGTAAAGATGGGTTATAAGGAATAATCAGGGAAGTCTTAGGAAGAGAGATTGAGGAATTTGATATGTTTAGGTTTGAGAAAAGAAGATTAAATAGAGACAAGATGACACTTTTTAAATAGCTGAAAGAATTCCATAAAGAAGGTCAAGACCTATTCACAGTTGTCTCACATTATAGGACACGTATTAATGGTCATAAGTTACCAGAAGATAAATTCCAGTTGAATGGTAGCAGAAACATTATTTGAACAAATTATCAAATAAGGTATTGAACTTTTTTTGGCTGTATGCATTCAAGCAGAAGCTGGACAGCCAATTGTCTGGTGTACCGAAATGGAGTCAATGGTTTAAATAGTTCTTTCCAGATCTGTGATTTCAAGAAAGCTCTCAGACTTCTATCCTAGTTCATGGAAATGCACTGCCAATATTAACAGGACAAAACCAGTATTCAATTAATTCTGTTTCTTCATAATATATAGCTATAGTTCAATGATATAGAATATGAGTTTTGAATTCAGAATTTGAATTAAGGTAATGTTCAATTTGATCCCAAGTTCTGCCAGTTCTAAAATACAATTTCATTTTTTTCAAATAACACTTTTACACTAGAATGGACCAATAGTATAAATACAACACTCTGAAATACAAAGCACATTTTCTACTTAAAAGCTTCCATTAAAGCCCAGTTGGATTTATTGGTGACAAACTTAAAAGAGGGGAGAAAGCTTTCTTTGAGTCTGTTCATACAGTACACTTACTGTAACCATTTTATAGGTTTTCACATTATATTGAATAATGCACTATTCAGCTAAAACTAGATTCCTACAACACAGTAAATTATAAACAGAAGTAATACTAAGTTAGCATATTGTATATGAGGCCATAGGAACATAGAACACACAGATAATCTATCAAATTCAGTCAGATTTTGAATTTTTATCTTATATTTTAGGACTAAATATCTTCTTGCACATGTGTTCAAATGCATTGTATTATTAGTTCAGTCAGAAGCAACAAATCAGATTACATTTTATCTAGGCCAATAATCTTATTTAGAAAGTAGATTCAGAGATGATTGAAATCACCACTGAATCACTAAAATGAATCTGTGTGAATGCAGCAATTGTTTTCATATTAAAGTCCCTTAATTGATATATGAAATATATACCAATAGGTATGAAAAATATTGCCACTTTTAGTTTTCTTTCTTCAGAACTATATAGTTCTCTCTGAAATGTTTCTACCTTTTCTTCTTCATACTTCTGAAGGCCAAGTTTCACCTCAGATCTTTGTTTGATCAGAATTTATTGGCAACAACCTGAAAAATAGGACACAGAGGAATAACTATGGTCAATTTAGCTCATTATTGAATTAAAGTATTATTATAGAATCTCCATGCACAGATATTGGGAATATTCCAAGGCTTAGAGAAGTATTTCAAGCAAAGAATCACAATGCCACAAAATGCAGTGGGTTCTTACTACTAGATTCACATCACAAGCTTAACTTGTTACTTAATTAACTTGTTTTTGGGGGTTCACAATGCACTGAGTCATAAAGTAACCAGATTACCTGGGATCTGTACAATATCCAAAAGTTTGGTATAATGTATACATGTGTTCAGTAGTTAATTCACCTGATTAGATTTGTCATGCAAATTCGTCCAGTGTGTCTGAATTTGACACAACTTAAATAAAATTCAAGGAAGGGATAAATTAATGGACCATTATATTCTTTGGTTAATTCTATAATGCTTAATTGCTAGGGATTATGGCAGAGTCTTGTATGGACTATGAGCTAATAGACCAAAAATTGGTGGACTTTGGTCTATATGAGGATTAAACAGAAAAATCTTGTTTCAGTACCTTGGACAGTTCCAGCTAACTAATTTGACTTGAGAAGGACTACAGTTGTGTGCTTTAATTTATTTGTACATTCCAATAACATTTGTGCTACAATTGCAGTTAGATGATGTCTTTGATCCAGAAAATAAACTGTGTGTATGTCCAAATGCACAGTTGCAGGAATGAAAAACTTCTGCCCTCCAGATTTTGTTAACTCATCTTCCAACAGCCTCAGCCAGTATAACAATTTTTTTAATAAAGTTTTATTGAGTTTTAACAAATAAAACATCTTATTTGAGTACAGCATGGTTCCGGGTTATCACATTTCCACATAGACACAATTTCATATGCATATTCATCTTATGTATTCAACTTCATATCTTATTACTCTTTTTCCAACTTCTCACTCTTTCTCCCTTTACTTCACTTAATTTTCTTTTATGGTTATCTCATTTTCTTCTTATTCAATTGTATTTCTTTTACCTAAATTTCTATATCTTTTTATTCATTATACTTATACTTTCGTCTGTCTTGTTTACAATTTCATATGTTCTCTTCCAACATTCTTAAAAAGCAAATTTCCCTCTATGATTGCCCATTGGAGTGCAATACCTTTAAGTCTTATTGTTATTATCGTATAAAATCTCATTAAACATTAAATTTGTGCATTCTAAAATTATAACATTCAAATTTCTAATATCTATTTTATATCATGTAAATCTCATCACTCAGACTCTGCTTGGTACTTCCCCTTGAAAATGTAAAAAGAAAAATCCTAAAAACATAGCAAAAACTATATATCAACATTAGTAAACAAAAATAAACAAAAATAAAATAGTAAACAAAAATAGTTATTCAATAGTTATTCTAGTACTGGTATGAGCCTTGTAAATCTTTCACATTTCTTTTCAATATTTATCAATCTTTGAGAATAATTGAAATGTTTCCCTTCCTTCTTCATTATTATGTTAATTGTTAATGAGCATACCATTGGATAGTCGTACAGTTTTATCTTATAAATTATTTACTATTAATAAGCAAAATAATTATTCAAATTCATTCTAGTAACTGGTATAGATTTCCTTATAAATCGTTCACATTTCTTTTCAGTATTTTATCAATCTTTAGAAACAATTGCAATGTTTCCCTCTCTTCTTTATTATTGCATTAATTATAAATAAACATACCATTACATAACAATACAGTTTTATCTCATAGATTATTTACTTATTTCATTTCTAACTCATTACAGTATTCTACTGTCACAACACTATCTTTTGTACCTTTGCAGAATCCTCACTTTTAACTTAATTTAGCCATTGTCTCTGTGTTTTCTAGCTGAGCAAATACCTTTAATCCTAGTATGTTTCCCTTTTTTTCTTTATTTCCTGCTTTTGTCCCTCATAAGTTCTTTCCCTTTTATTTCCCACCCCCTTTTTTTCTCATCCCCTTTTTTATACCCTTCTCTCTCCATTTTTCCCTTCTGTAGTTTTCTTTTCTGCTTCTCCTTTCTGTTATACTTCTTTTTCAGACTATTTTTTTTTTTGGCTGTTCCCTTTGATCTCAAACTTTTAACTCCTTTCCCCCTTTTTACCTCACTTTGCATTATTTGATCATTGAAAATGGCTTCTTCTTTGTCCTGCCCTTCTTCTTGCTCTTGAAGCTTTTCCTTTTCAGGATCTCCATTTCAAAAATTCAAATATGAAGCCAAAGGATCTTCCTCCCCTTTCTGCATCTTCTTTCTGTTTTTTAAGACTCATCTTCAATTCCTCCAGGGGTGATGCCATTTTAAACACTTTTGAACAACCACCCAATTGACTTTAAGTAAAAACAGGAAAAAAAAACAATGCCAAAAACTTTTTTTAAAATCACCAAATGATCCCAGACTGTTCCTTCTTGTTTCTTTCCTTTCCTTTTCCTTTCCATGGGTTAGTGTATCTTTTAATAAGATTTCAGTTACAATGTATCCTCGGGAGTCTTTTCAAAGTTTCACTGTTAATCCTCTTTATTTTTCCAGGTGGCACTCCATTTTTCATTATTCCAAGTTCCACCCTTTTACCTCCACTCTTCTCCTTTTTAGGGCTTTAAAATGACCAAAGAAAAATCTTTATTCTCCTTTTGACACTTAGATTTCAGCTTAAAACATTATTAGTGTCAAAGTAGATTAACATAAATTTCTTTCCATACCATTTGTAATTGTCAATATAAAGGTTAAAAAAGGGTTTTTAACCTCCATTTCTCTCTCCTTCGCCGCTTAAAAATCTTCTTTCAGAAGTATCCCTCTAAGTACTTTTAGATTCAGGGTACCTTGATTAAATGTTCTCTGTTGTTTAGCCCAGTCCGTCCTGCTTTCCTCTTTGTCTTCCTCCTGCACAATCTTATCCAGTTAGGTTTTTCTTTGAGGTGGCCATTTCTGACCACCGGTACAACCGCCTTCGGGAAAGGGTGTTTAGACCAGCCAAGGAGGAGAGATGTGGCTCCCCTCCACTCATCTAGCAATCTCCCCCTCTTCACCACCTCTACAGGGTGGCTTCAGCCCTGAATCCGAAGGATCAGGGGACTCCAGCGGCGAGCACAGATTGAAACACGCACGATCGCGGATTTCGGTCTGTCGCTGAAGAAACCCAAACCGGAAGTCCACCAGTATAACCAATTTTGAGGGAGTCTGAAAAATTTATTTGGAACATTCCAAATGGATCACTCTGTTCCCATTTTTCTGACTCAACTTATTTGAACATAACTTGGGGTTCTAGTGGAGAACAAAGTCAATTCTACGTAGCTAAAGTCTATACACCTTAAATCCAAGGAATCCAATTGACAGAAAAGACAAGTCTCCTTGAACAAGGCTAGGAGATATATTGTTTTTCAATTTCTTATATTAGATATCACCTGGTGAAGATAATAAGGATTGATGGTGAATAAATACTTATTTGGAAAATAATAATAATGTGTGGAATTTATTGGTACAAAAATAGTGAATACTGACTAGCTCAACTGGCATAGAAAAGTTCTAGATATTAACTTTAAGAATTATTTTTCTGCATGGAGGTCAAGCATATTACTGCCTACTTCTATTGCAATTTGGCAGATCGAATCTCACCAGGCTTAAGGTTGACTCATCCTTCCATCCTTCCGAGGTGGGTAAAATGAGGACCCAAATTGTTGGGGGCAACTATTCTGACAGGGCTGCAAGGCACTGTAAACCAGTATATAAGTCTAAGTGCTATTGCTATATTTGCCCTCATATGAGCAATGTGGAGAAAGAATAGTCAGAAGACACTTCCAATAATCTCAACAAGGCAGTAAGGCAACCTAAAACTAGATTTTCTTGGTTTTCTTGATTTTCAGGGGACTAAAGGAAGATTTTGCTCAGAGTTCATTCAACTGTAATTTATTTTTATATGCTACTTAATCACAGGTTTGTGGATAAATATAGCAGCAAAATTATGAATAACCACAATCCCAGTCAGTCAACGAATAGGGTTTTTTGTGTTCTGTATTTCTAAAAATTTAATATTATAATGTCAGCCAGACATTTTATAAAACTACAACATACCTTATCATACACAGTCCATTGGATTGAATCCAATTTGAATAATAAGCATAGACCTATTGAAAACTCATGGATTAAGTCTATAGCCAGCCCATTTTTTGGATGTAAGAATTTGAAATTTAAAAATAAACTATAGGTTAATCTTTTTCTTTGTCCTCATACAGACAGAAGAGATTTTTTTAGTTTGTTGTCAGGATAAAAGATCTATCTGCCATAGATGTCTACAAATGGAGCAGATAAGTCCTGATTTTGTCTAATAATGCAGTATATATAAAGCTGGGCTAAAATATGTCTTACAGCTTTTGAGAAAATATTTATCTCCAACGTAGGAAATTTTGAAGTTTGTAAATCTTTTTTAAGGCACTTAATTTTTGTTCAGATAAACAGTTGGGAGTGGCAAAAGTTGCTTCTGGTGATTTTCTGCTCTACACCTTTTCATGAGTCTAACATTTATCTGGATACCAAGACTTATCTACTTGAAGAAACTCAACAATGTTCTCTCCAGGTATATTTAATGGGAGTGTGAAAAACCAAGGTATAACCAACAGACAGAGAGTTGTACAATGAAAGATAGGATATTCACATGTACCTTTTGGCCACCTTGTAAATAAATACAATATCATCAATCACCCATGAGAATTTCACCAAAATTCTTGTTTCTATTGAAAGAAGTTTCAGAAAACAGTTTATCATAAAATAGAAAGATAATCTTCCAGCATGACACTAATATTTATGCTTCAGAGTGCTGTAGACTCATGTACATTTGCTTGGCTATATATAAGAAAGAGTAGCAGCTGCAGAAATAGGAGGCATCATCTCAAGAAAAGGGGTGAAGAATGTGTGGTTAAAAGCATGGACATCAATGAACCACAAAGCCTTTTAGCAGCCATTTGTCTGCAAAGGATGCTGAGCCAGCAAATATTAGCATGTCAGACTTTCCCCCTATTAAAATTGGCTTCAGACAATTATTTCTCCCCCACCTTCACACAGACTTCAGTTTATGAAGAAAATCCATGCTTTATTAACCCCCAAACCCATACTTTCTTAACCCAAAAGCAAAAATGAAAGGCAAGTGAAGGCATGCTCAAGTTTGACTTTCTTCATCTGGAAACAATATAGATGAAATCAATGTTGAGTCTCTGAAAAGTATATATTTTTTAAGATAATAGGTTTTCAAAGTGCATCTAAAGAAGATGGATGGATAGAGAAGGGGTTGGGTGGGGAGGTGATTAAAAAAATGCCAGCAGTGTTTGAAATACTTTGACAAATAATTGCTGAAATTGATCTGATCAATAGTTTCTTAGAGGACATCAAAGGCACAGAGATGGAACAGCTCTCTTGAAATAGTAAAAAATGAGCTCCATCATTGGAAGGAGAAATCCAACCTTAAATGAAGTTCTTTGGAATCAACCTGGGTTATAACTGTCTAAAACTAGAGCTTCATCACTGATAGAAGACAAACTTGAGAAGGATCCAGATTTTTTGGGCAAAATCTGGTTTGTGTGAATTCACAGAATCCAACATTTTCCCAATTTCAAAGTATTTTCTTCACAGGGTGCAGATGGTAGAACTGCTAGGAATGATATAATTTCCATGCCGGTGGTTCCAATGTGAAGGAAATCATCAATGGGTTTTAAAAGCAAAGAAAGGGGAGATGTAGAATCATCGTCCTCATCACCCTCACCATCATCTAAAATTCTGTATTGTTTCTCTCTTCCTTCCTTACAGAATGCCCAACTCCATCAGGGCTTTGCAGAACATTTATTTGTTTTTCAATCTTTGAATCTTCCAATTTGATGGGGCTGATCTGTCTCAATTTGAAGGGGACATTTGGGAAAGACTTATTTTTAAATCAGATAAATGATATTCACATAGGGCATAATTGGGATTCATTGCTCAGTAATGAAGTATTACAGACACTGACTTACATGACTTTTTAAAACAGCAGGCAGTTTTATGGAGGCTCAACTAGCAACTGCAATCAATCCAGATAGCTCCAAATTATATTTATGTGTACCTGATACTAATGATTCATTTAGAAGTAGGTTCATTTGCTTCAATATCCCCTTTTTTACTCTTTTTCCATGCTTTTCCCCTGCTCTTTCTCCTCTGTCCCATTATAATAGACGTGGGGAAACTGCAAAATGACTGTATACGTAGCCTATCATTCTGCCTATTGCCTACCGTGGGTCAGTATTGTAGAAGTTACAATTCAATTGGATGTGAAGTTAAATTGTTATCTATATCAGAGGAATAGGCTATGTACCTCTAATGATGTAGCTATTAAAAGTTCCTAGATGGAACATTTGTCCTTTGTGCTTATTTTTCACACATGAGGCATAAAATTCCAAAGGCACCTTAGTTGCCCATGACTTCATAAAAACTTTAAAAAGCTAGCGTAGATGATATGAACCAATATCTAGCCAAAATGGATAGCGAGTTCCATTTAGATGTTTGTCATTGCAATGCTAAAAAAGTTAGATTTTTAACCAAGAAGGCTCCTTGTTTGAGAATTGTTGCCTGTTGTTCCCTGCCAGCTCTGCTTTATGCTGGATTGTTTATTTCCAGCTTTAACAATGTGCTTTTTAAAATATTTTTTATGGGTTGTATTGCATTTCTTGGTAAAGCACTTTAATCCATTTTAATGCCCCCATCCTTCTCTTCAATGGCAATGCCGTGGTTAGTCTAATGCATCCCACTCACCTCAGGGTTACTAATGAGGTCACACAGCATACAATATCCAAACTGAATAATTCACTAATCAGATGCTGCCGACTCCAGTGGTAAAATTTATTTCTGACACCTAAACAGCAAATGGGTTTGTGGAAGCATATGCAAACATTCCCGGGCACTTTCCCCGCTTCAAATAGAGATCATTTGGGCAGAATTGATAGAACTCCATTTGGCTTAACAAAACTATTCCATCATCTTTACCCGAGCAAAGTTTTAGGCCAGAAATGTATTAAACAGGTTGGGAAAGAAGTTAGAATCCTACTGTGTGACCCGTTTTATCACTCCACACATATCTCTCCTCCTCCTCCTCTTGCAGATGCTTGGATGGTTTTGGAAGAGTAAGTTTGAGATAGAGGCCTGAGACTTAGATTGCCTCTGACACTACTAATGTTCCTGTATTGGCTTATGAAGACTAATTATAAAGTACTAAATAATGCATATCTTTGACCCAAGCAGAGGGATGAAAATTGCTATACATCTGTTTTTCTTTCATTCAATGATAAACATGGCTTTGATTGAGGGCGGACAGTTTTGTAGTAGCCTACTATGGCCACAGCCTAAGAAGTAGGCAGATCCCAAGCAAAAATGAAAGGTTTTCTCATTTATTTAATATAACTCTCTTCTGTCACATTAAAAGGTATAATCAAACATCACACTGAATGTTACACCTTTTCTGAGGCTCTGGGAGTATCTCTAAGTCTTTTGGTAGTCACATCCAGCTCAGTGAACATCCTTCACTTAAAAATATACTTATTGTCTAGCCTCATCACATTCCATCCAGCTTGGAGAATGGCAGATATCCTGCCATTCTCTTAAATAACTCTGGCAAGAGCATTACCAGATGATGTTAGAAGTCACTGCTCAAGCTTTCTCAAATCCTTTCACTTCTAGTGAGGACCTGCCTGCCTAAGCCCATTAATTTAGGGAAGATTTGGTTCCTTCATTTATTCATTCAATGTATGCCTACCAACTCATCAAGCCATATAATGCAATCCCTCTCCCAGATTTTGCATTGAGCAATGAATGAAATCTTGCAAATCAAATCTTCTAATGATTATGCCAAGGAGATAACCATTGGACAGCCCTAAGCACATGGAAAGAAACATTGAGCTGAACTATAAAGAGGGAAAAATGTTTGGGTTTAGATGCTCCCATCAACTGTTGCCTAACTAGAAAAGAGCATACTCAATTAAATTTGCCACACCTCTGAGATTTTTAATAGCTGCTAATTTTCTGATCCTAAAGGCATCTCTTCTGTCGACTCCTCTCAACCTTCCATTCATTGGCCCTACTTTGTTTTGCTTTATTAATCTCCATTCATACCTCTTTCTTTCATCTTCCCATTCTGAGGCATTGTCAGAATACTTTAATGAGCACCCCAGAGGAAAGGGGAACAGTACACAGATCTAATTAATTAGCAATGTTACCATCACTCCAAAGCCCTTCTGTGACATTCCTAATAATAACAACAGCAATAACAACTCGTGTCTTTGGTGGGGTGGGGAGGGGGAGGAAAGAAGAGCACAATGGTGGGCAGCTTTGGGAAAACACTGTATCTCAAACACATGTCACTAATCCTGAGAACAGGTGGTGATTGCAGAAATTACGTCCGCTAAAGACTTTCCTACGCTGCATATCTCACTAATGCCATGCATTTGGCTTCGATACTAAGAAGGAAAATGCTTTGTTCCTTGGTGTCACTAGACTGCTTCATTTCACAGTTTGCAGTATTGAACACTGGCTGGAGATGTCTTGAATAGAAGTTGTCATAGTAAAAGATATCCCGCCAACCTAGTAGTTTGAAAGCATGCAAAATGCAAGTAAGAGAGTAACTGAGTTGGAAGAGACTTTGAAGAGCTTCTAGTCCAACCCTCTACTCAAGCAGGAGACCCTATCCCATTTCAGACCAATGATGGTCCAATTCTTCTTAAAACCTCCAGTGACGGAGCATCCACAAGGCAAGTCATTCCATCGATTAAGCAAGTCCACTGATTAAAGTAGATAAACAGGTACCACTTTGGTGGGAAGGTAACAATGTTCCAAGTGCCTTGGTGTACAGTCATGTGACCACATTATCACAGAAGTGTCTTTAGGCAATGCTGGCTCTCTTGGCTAAGAAACAGAAATGATTGCTGCCTCCTAGAGTCAGACACAACTGGCAGGGGAAACCTTTACCTATTTTTATCTTTTTTTAAGCTTAAAAATAAATAAATATGAGATATTCTGGGAGCTGTGTGAGTAAATGCTCTCCTGTTTAAGGAAGGAAGCTGTTAGACTAGGTCCAGATATCACAGGAAAACACAATATGGTTTGATTGTTATATAAATCCAATTATTTGGCTTATTCATCAAGTTTTGATTTTTTTAAAAAAATCCTGCATTGGTATGATCTATTGTAACATTGTATCTATTTTTATTTATTCAGTTTTCCTCTCATTACAGTTATGCAACTGTCAGTGGTACCACTTATATAATGCTCAATCTTATCCATTCCCAACCTCGTGAACAGGCAGAAGTGACATTGCAACTCTCATAGTAATTAGACATGCTCACTCTCCCCATGCTTCCAGTTCAGTAGGAAACAGTTTGTGCATTTCAATGAGTGCTGAAGTATGGACATAAAAGAACCACATTTGGGTAGATGATAAGAATCTTATATGGAAGTTGCAAGATTTTACAACCCTTAGAGATCTAGCTTCTGTCCGGGTCCAAATGTAGTAGGACACAAAGAGATGGAGATTGGAGATAATTTTCTGGTTAATTTTCCAATACATTCTACAGATGAGCTTGTTGCATTTTGGGTTTCATGTAGCCATTGTGTCCAATTGATAATGGAAGGAGTAAATAATGGAATAAATCCAGCAATAGAAGGTCAAAAAGGGGCTTTGATGGCAGATCTTTCAAAAATTTGTCTAATCCAAAAAAGAAAAGAAAATTCTCCATCCATGACCAAGATGGTCCTGTTGTGGTTTGCTGGCAGCCTCTGCAGATGGCAGGGGAATCAGACAGTGGGGAAGAACAGGGACCAGTCCTGGAGTCTGGGGAGGACTCAGATGAGGGTCTTGCATCTGATGCAGAGATGGGGCCAGGACCATCTGGGAGCTGTGTGCTGACTCTGGAGCCTCCAGAGTCTGGCAGCAACGAGGCAGAGGAACAAAGGGAGCCTGTTCCCAGTGCACATGTGTGCAGAGCTGCTAGAAGGCAAGAGCAACTGAGACAAAAGGGGCAACTTGGGAGTAAGGCTGGGAGGTGATTGCACCTCCCATAAGGTATAAAGGAAGAGCAAAGATAGAGAAACCTTTGCAGGAAGCAACATCGTTCGCTCTGTTCAGATTAAACCTTGAAGCTCTGTGTGGACTTTGTACTTCTGATGGTTTTTTACAGTTAATTTGGCACTTTAGTTATTGGCAGCAATTCAAAGGAGATAAAGGTGGGTGCTTATCTCTAGGGATTGTTTGGGACTCATTACAGGCTGGGAATGAAAATAATTCTCAGCGTTAAAATAAAACGAGTGTTGTTTGGACTAAGCGTGTGCTTAATTACGGTCCCAGGAAGCCTTGGTCAGAACAGGTCCCAACTTGATTGACTTTTCTAAGTCTTAGGGACCTGAGTGTATGCAAGGACCTCCTTCTTGGAATTTAGTCTTCAGAATTTAGTCTTCAGTCTTCAATTTAGTCTTCACCTCTTCAGTGGATCAAATGAACTCCAAAGAAGATATCCACACATGCAAGAGGTGTAGCTTGTGTCTAGTTCAATGCCTAAGCCTGTCTATGTCCAACTGCCAGCTGAAATTATGTGATAAATGATTGCATTATCTGAGACAGCTTTTCATTTTCATTCAATCTGGCCTATCTGCCCTTTCAGCCTGGAACTGTTGATAGCATTTCTTCCTTCACCAACTTCATGTCTTCTACCCACTTGTCAAGCTGTCATTGTGAAGAAAAAGAGGAGCCATTTTTGAGGTGGCTATAGTTTTATTTTGACTTAAAAGTCTGAGTATACACATTATAGATATCCCTGAACTCAGATCCCTGCTTCAAAAGGCTCACATATCTAAATGAGTGATAATATTTCCAAACTCAACATCACTTCCTTGACTCAGTGTCTTTCTCAAGGCTTGCTGGGGCTGGATTCAGATCTGAGGATTTTAGTTTCTTTTCTGAAAGTAATTTTAATTGCCTTTTCCCAGCAAAAGGTTGAGTTAGAACCTGCAAACCTTCCAAGAAAATAAATTAGAAGCATCTAATTTATTTTCTTCTGCAAGTGCTCTATTCACGGTTTGAAACAGCAAGAGGTAATCAAACAGTTCATGGTCAAAAATCAACATCAAGTAGTTACTGCAAAATTACACTAAAATTCCAATGCAGGAGTTCAGAACATTTTAATATCAACCATCAAGACACAGGGGATGGAACAAGAAAATATTGTCATGTCAAGCAAAAAAATTTCAAAAAGATGTGGACAAGGCACAAGGCTGGTTAGTATGGAACCTGTTCCAGGATTGAACTGTTCACATGCAAGGATTTATATATGGAAATTACAAGCCATGACCTGATATCAGGATTATAAACTACATCTCAGTAGACCATCTATTCCAAGTTGTTTGGAAAGAGTGTTTCTGCCAAGGACCATAGTGTCTGGGACAGCAAAGAAGAGTTTCCACCAGGACCACTGTGTTGGTTGTGGGACACTATACATAGCTCTTCTTCTTGGTCTTTTTCCTCAAAAGATTACCTGTCTGAGCAGGCCATGAGAAATATGGATATCCACATGAAGATTAAGATGAGTGGATCAAGATGTCCTGCTCTATTTAACTGCATTTTGAGGCAGGTTTCTAGCCTAGCATATTTTACTGCTGACTTTTCAATTTTTTAAAAAATGAAGATGATGAACCCGAGCGAGACCTGATTCCTGCTAATGAGGATTTTACAGGGGAGTGGAACTGAAGCCAAACATCCAAATTTGCTCCAACTGAATCTCAGATGGATTTTTTTAAAATAGAAACATGTTCCTTGGTCTCCTTGTGACCATGAAGTGCAAAAACATTGCAGAAGCCACATAAGGGCTTCTTCATTTTCTTCTCCTTTGGAAAGTAAAAGAAAGCAACTTCCTTTTCAGTGGAACTTTTTCACACCTCACTGATCCTGACATCCTATGGGACTTGGCTAATGAATCCCACACATACCATATTATTCTTGGATGAGCTGAAAAACATCCCCCATGAGAAAGCAGAAATTGGAATAATGCTCACTCACTGGAAACTAAAAATCACAGGAATGGCTTCTGCAATCAAATTCTTCTCCAGCTTCCTAGCTAATACAGTATATGCACCCACTAACTCTCCACACTCCAGCTTTAATGTAAGAAAGAAAAGGTGAAGAGAACTATGAATGTTAGAAAAGAGGGCCTTTTTCACATCACATCTGGAATCTCCATACCTCAAATTCTTGTATATCAATTTTTTTGGGTGCTCTTACAAACATTACCAATTATTTGTAATCAGATTAGAGAAACACTTTAATTCTACTATTTGCTGGATTCATTTCTTTTGACTACATTACAATGAGAAGATCAAACAGAATCAGCTTCAACAGGGCGATTATAACCAAGGCAGAGAAAAATCGTTGTCTAAGCGTGCAAGAAAAGAGGCAGTTACATTCTCTTCTGACAACGAAAATCTTTGCAAACCTAATTAATTGATGACTGAATTAGAAAGCCAGATAGCCAAGCACTGAGCCAGCAAAAAATAAAAAATAAAACCAGAAAGTGGCTGATAAAAGAAATGAGGCATATCTGGAGTACCTTTAAATATATCAGACTCACTGAAAGTTGTTCAGATGGGACAAGTCATAGGGAGATAACCTTGTCAACCGCTTTTCAGCTCATAGGACTTATGAATTTCAACAGATTCATGGAGAGATTATGACCACCAGATGCTTCCTAAATCCTTGCCTTTCTTGGCTAATTAAATTAGTTGGGATTGGCTTCATGGTTAAGAGAGGTAACTAACAACTCTTTCAGCACAGAATATTATTGCTTAATAGAATACAGTTACAAGGCCATTATTGGAAAACCAACCTTTGATCCTGAAGAACTTGGTAATTATATTCCAGTCTTGGGTAAGGTG